ACACAATGCGAATTGTATCAATGGAATTGATTTTGGCAAAAAAAGGCATGATTTTTTTTTTAAAAAAAAACTGGTGATTAGCAATTTTTGAAAGGTAAACTGAATATGGATGGCATGAGGTATATATCGCATTTCACATTTTGTCACTGGTCATTGTCAAAGCGTAGTTTACGTAGGATTACCATGGTGTAAGCATTCATACCAGATTCAAGGCAGTCGATAGCTATGCTGTGTTATATAAGTACATGTATGATTACGGTACCAGTATTCTGAAAAGTCAAACAATGATCAAAGACCATGTTTTATGATTGGACTGTCAAATTAGGGGCATTTTGGAAGGGATGGATGGGTGCTAAACTGGTTGAGTATGGTATATTATAAAGGGGATCGATTTTGTTGATGTTTTTGCAAAATATTACACTAATATTTTGGCAAGAAAAATTACAGCATTTAAAGACGTACCGAAATAAGTCGTTTCTAGCACAGTCATTTGTTCTTTATTAGGCGTACATTTCTTGCCTTATAAACAAAATATTTTGCTCAGCCACAGATATCTGTCTAAATCTGATGTTTTACTTGAGTTACTCCCCAACAACATTGCTGCCTAAAGTTGTTGATCTTGTGTTGTTAATGAATAATATGAACTTAAATTTTAGTTTTTCAGTGGACTATAGTTCACACCTAGACAAGCCTCAGATCTGATTGTGAATAGGGTAATGCATCGGTTCCATTCTCACATATTTTTTATGGTTACAGATAACTGTGTAGTCGCAGCCCCTAGTGGCAGTTTAGTGCAGCAGTCAACATATGGAATTGAAAATCCACCTGCCTACTGTCCAAGCACCCAAGAACTACCTGCATTCCCTGCTGAGATAGCACCACCTCAACCTCCTGTAGCGATGTCACAAGAAGCGACTCAAACATTCCCTGAGACAAGTGACACAGCAGCATCTTCTGAAGGAACAAGCACCAAATAAGCCACATTGATGTCGCTCCCACATTGATACTCATCTCCTGTATGTGTATAGCAATTGTTTACTCATCTGTTACATCATTTTTGGAAGCATATACAAAGAGAACAAACTGTTCACAACATTGTTCAAAGTATAAAGAAAGAGAACAAACATTGTTAAAAAAGTGAAGATTACCATACTTTACTGAAAATCATCAGTTTTTTGTAAAAATGACAATGGATCTCATTTAAACATCGTTGATTCACTGTCATTTTCAGTATTCAGAAATTCCAAGATTCTCTCTAAACCTGATAAACAAAAGCTGAGTAGCCTGGGCACTGAGTCAGACAAATATGGTAATCTTTTGACTTTGAATCCTTGAAGTCAACTTGTGTCACTGATCACAAATTTTTTTTTTTATTAAATTTGATAAAGACGTGTAGCTAATGGGAAATTATTTTTATTTGGTTCAAAATTAACAAAGTAAATAACAATGTAGTACAATGTACTAGAAATTAGGGGGCAAAATGTATAACAAAGAGTTATGAATGAATAATGTGAAAACTAAACTTCACAAGTAATATTATGATAGTAAAAGAGTTGCCATGACAAAGTGTGTTTGTCAGCTTCTAGGATTGCTTATGCTATTTTAAAAAAAATGAAATAACTGAAATTTAAGCTTGGAACTATAAAATATTTTAATAATCAAAATTAATATTTTAAAAAATTTCAGTGAAATGAGACCTTGTCTGTGCACTTTATATGTCTTATTTGCTGTAAATTACCTGTATATGTAGGAAATAATTGGGAGAACAAAAGTGCCTTTCTATTGTTAGTCTTCCATTGTATATTTAGTTTATTGGCTTAACTTGATAAAATGAACCATCAATGACATTTCTCTGATTTTAACTAAACTTTTTCTTGTAAAATAGTCATATGTGAATGAATAGATAGTTTATTTGTAATTAGTGAGTCTCTTCACCCTATGAAAAAAGACAGACTGTCTCTGGTACTATTGGTAGTTATCAACAGAAGGCAAAAAACTGTGTCTATATTCTTTGAGCAAATAGTGATTTGTTCCTTCACATGCAAATTTGCTGCCATTTTATTCCCAGTGTGCATCAGGCCTAAACTTCCTGTTTCTTTAAAACAAATAATGATTACTTAATCGATGATGTCATAAGTATTTATGATGTCATATTCATTTAATGTAATTAATTGCCTTGCCTCATTATTCACATAAATGATAAACTATGCAAGTAACAAAGTAACAATGGCAGTACTTCCTCCTACTTTATTTAATTTTGTGGGGGGTGTATAGATCCTACTTAGATTGCAATTTGACAAACTGTCTTCACCTAATGCATTGCTTTTTTTCTAGTCTTTGAAATTTGCTGTTTTATTAAAAATGCATTTACTTTAGTTATATACGTCCATTCCTCTTTTTATCTCCACCTTCTATTTACATCTTTTGTAATTTTTATGGAACTGTACATGTACATTTGTGACACTCCTTTTTCACTTATGTTTTATTATCAATTGTCTGATTTACTCATTTTATGGTGATGTTGAACACAGCATTTTTTTTTTAAATTTGAAGGTAAGATATACAGTGGTGTTTTAATTAATAAGAATTTTAACTTTTTTCTACTGAAATTAGATTGGAATAACAGATTTTACAAATAGTGAGACAAATTAATTCCCAAGATTACTGGTCAGTTAGTTTTAAAATGCTAAATAAATCTGAGTAATGTCATATACTGTATTTTGCTAATCAATATTGCTTTCAAATCAATGCAAGAATTCGTGTGAATCAAATATATATGTTATTAAGAATGCTTCAATTCCTAGCCATCTACTCATGGTTAGCATGTGTTACTGGATTGTATATAATGGAATAATGTAAACTACTTATTTGGATTTTAATTTTACCTTGTAATCAGTTTTTTTTATTTCATCAATATTTGTACTATCAGACTTTTTAGATAATATTGTAATCATTTAAATTTCATGAGGGACAAATTCCATGAATTTGAGGAGTTTGGAGGGTGAATTTGGCGCATTAAACATTTCTATGAGGTGCTAGAGAGATGCAGTGAACATTTATCTAGGGTCCTAGAGTCACAGTGAACATTTATCTAGGGTCCTGGATAGTCACAGTGAACATTTATCTAGGGTCCTGGATAGTCACCGTGAACATTTATCTAGGGTCCTGGATAGTCACAGTGAACATATATCTAGGGTCCTAGAGAGTTGGAGTGAACATTTATCTAGGGTCCTGGATAGTCACAGTGAACATTTATCTTGGGTCATAGAGAGTCACAGTGAACATATATCTAGGGTCACAGTGAACATATATCTAGGGTCACAGTGAACATATATCTAGGGTCACAGTGAACATATATCTAGGGTCACAGTGAACATATATCTAGGGTCACAGTGAACATATATCTAGGGTCACAGTGAACATATATCTAGGGTCACAGTGAACATACCGTATATCTAGGGTCCTCGAGAGTCGCAGTGAACATTTCTCTAGGGTTCTGGATAGTCACAGTGAACATTTATCTAGGGTCCTAGAGAGTCGCAGTGAGCATTTATCAAGGGTTCTCAACTTCTGGATAGTCACAGTGAACATTTATCTAGGGCCCTGGATAGTCACAGTGAACATTTCTCTGGGGTCCTAGAGAGTCGCAGTGAGCATTTATCAAGGGTTCTCAACTTCTGGATAGTCACAGTGAACATTTATCTAGGGTCCTAGAGTCACAGTGAACATTTATCTAGGGTCCTGGATAGTCACAGTGAACATTTATCTAGGGTCCTAGAGAATCGCAGTGAACATTTATCTAGGGTCACAGTGAACATATATCTAGGGTCACAGTGAACATATATCTAGGGTCACAGTGAACATATATCTAGGGTCACAGTGAACATATCGTATATCTAGGGTCCTCGAGAGTTGCAGTGAACATTTCTCTGGGGTCCTAGAGTCGCAGTGAGCATTTATCAAGGGTTCTCAACTTCTGGATAGTCACAGTGAACATTTATCTAGGGTCCTGGATAGTCACAGTGAACATTTATCTAGGGTCCTAGAGAATCGCAGTGAACATTTATCCAGGGTCCTGGATAGTCACAGTGAACATTTATCTAGGGTCCTGGATAGTCACAGTGAACATTTATCTAGGGTCCTGGATAGTCACAGTGAACATTTATCTAGGGTCCTGGATAGTCACAGTGAACATATATCTAGGGTCCTAGATAGTCACAGTGAGCATTTATCCAGGGTCCTGGATAGTTACAGTGAACATTTATCTAGGGTCCTAGAGAGTCACAGTGAACATTTATCTAGGGTCCTAGAGAATCGCAGTGAACATTTATCCAGGGTCCTGGATAGTCACAGTGAACATTTATCTAGGGTCCTGGATAGTCACAGTGAACATTTATCTAGGGTCCTGGATAGTCACAGTGAACATTTATCTAGGGTCCTGGATAGTCACAGTGAACATTTATCTAGGGTCCTGGATGGTCACAGTGAACATTTATCTAGGGTCCTAGAGAGTCACAGTGAACATTTTGTCTAGGGTCTTAGAGAATCGCAGTGAACATTTATCCAGGGTCCTGGATAGTCACAGTGAACATTTATCTAGGGTCCTGGATAGTCACAGTGAACATTTATCTAGGGTCCTGGATAGCCACAGTGAACATTTATCTAGGGTCCTGGATAGTCACAGTGAACATATATCTAGGGTCCTAGATAGTCACAGTGAGCATTTATCTAGGGTCCTGGATGGTCACAGTCAGCATTTATCCAGGGTCCTGGATGGTCACAGTGAACATTTATCTAGGGTCCTGGATAGTTACAGTGAACATTTATCTAGGGTCCTAGCAGTCCTAGAGAGTCGTTGAACATTTCTTTAAGGTACTAGAAAATCACAGTGAACATTTCTCCGGGATCCTAAGGAGTTATACAATGTAGTGAAAATTTCACTTGAGTCGCAAAAACATGAAGTGACAATGACTTTCGCAAAAGTGACTTTAGTCATCAAAATTGAAAGCAGTAAAAATATTGTTATAGTATTTAGTTTCTGATATTCTATTTTATATGCAGATTAATTAAGTGTGTTTTTAGCTAATTGACTCTGAATAGTCAAATGTGGATGAAAATAAGGGTATGCAGCTATACCACACTGATCATGGGGAAAATGTTCCAAAAAATACTGGTAAATGCAACTTACTGAGTTGATTAAAAGGTTGTTTTCTTAAATTGAGTGTGAACAAGATGTGTTTATACACACATGTCAGTTAACATTCACAGTCAAATCTTTCTGTAATTAGGGTTCTCTACAATGACAGTAGTCAAAATAAATCTGATTTACACAATGAAATAGAATTCACTCAAAAATATGAATTTTGGGATGGCATCATGTGATTTCAATGAAATTCGTCGTCGCATTTCACAATGCATAGTTTTAAAAATGTAACTTATTACTGATATCTACTTTTTGTACAATATAGGTGTATAGATGCATTAAGTAAATCCTATCACTGACTTTGAGGCTGACTGTACTCATGAGTACATTGGAACATACTAGTATTTGTTCTGTTCTGTGTCGTATTTTCGATTCACATCTTATTTATATTTCTATTCTCAACTTATTTACCAAGTTGTTGGTCAGTTTAGCTGTAGGCATACTTCCGTATTTACACTTCTGTATGTTAGTTGTATATTTCTTGTCATTTATGTTATTCACATTTCTGATACAAAAAAGTTTTGGTTACATTGAAATGTAATATTATTGAACATATCATTCCATGTCAGTCTGATGTCAATCTAATGTCCGTGGATGTATTTCTTTGCTTCTAACTCGGCTAACTGATATGAACGCATTTGTATTCAGATAGTATCAACAAGCAATCATACCTTCTTTTACATATCACAAACTGCATGCAAAGGATTATGTAGTGAGTTTAGGAGAGTTTGAGCTAAATATGACTTATCTATGACCCCGACCCTCCCTGAAGGTCACACATTACTGGTATTTGGGAGGCAGGAAATATTAATGATATTTGCCATTGTTATTCCAAAAGAATTGCAATTACTGTAAAATTTTCTCATGGAATGAATTTTTGCTATTTTCTATAAAGGAATGATTCAGTGAAAATAAAATCCAGTGAATATACTTTTTTTCCTATATTTTACTTTCAACTTGTTAAAAACCAGTGAAAATAAATTCCATAGAAAACACTGGAAAGGTCTTTTCAGTGAAAATTAATTCCAGCTAAAATAAAGTATTTTGCAGTAGTGTAACAACTTAAAAAGGGAGGTATAATATATAACAATGATATACCCCAGACTATGACCTTTAGGGGTCATACACAAGTTTCACATCTCCTTGGTATGTTAATGACAATATCCACAATGCAACAGTCACACTAAAATTAAAGGACAAGTTATTGTATTTCAGCCCATGTTACCAATCAAAATTCTAAGATTTGTTGCAAAATAAAAGATGAAATAAAAACTTATTTGGCTTTTTTTCATAAAAATACATTGTTTGTAAATATTTGTGTGTGACCCCAATTTCAATTCCGATCCAAACTTTCTTCAGAAATGTCAGATGTCGTCAAAAAAGCACATCAAGAAAAAGCAAAGGACCATCTGCTGGCATCAGTTGTTCAGACTGCTTCCAATTATGAGTACATTTATAACTTTGGGACCAATTTTCTTGTATGCTAGGTTTGTTTCCTTTTTTTGTAAGAATAACATTATATATGTATAAAAAGGTAGTATTTATGTATATTTTGGATATGTATTAACCAGAAGTAAATAAATGTATTCCAAAAACTGGTATGTTTCATTTCTTATTTACTTAACATTGTAGTACATCTAAGTCCATGCTTTGTTAAGCATATTCAGATTAATTTTATAAATAATTACAAACAAATTATCGTTCCTTGTGGTCTAAACTGGTATTTTTGACTCGTTCTTGCCTTTACCCATTACTGTGTTAAGTTATATAAGTATATTACACCTTTCAATTCATTCCTTAGTATGGGGTATTTATAAGCTTATGGTTGTTTTGTTTATCTTTTCAGCCATATTTAGACCTGTAGTTTTCCCTCTTAAATTTTGTTTTGATATATTTGATTGAAGGATAGATGTATAACTATTTATTTACAATACTTACTTTTGAATTCTCATTCAAACTAGAACGTTTTAAATATTTGCATTATAAATTCACCAGACAAAATAAATTAAATAGTCGGTGCTTAGTTTTAAATAGTTAAATAAACTGTGGTAGAATTTATTTATAAATAATAAAATTACTATATATAATTTATCCTTTAGTTGGTAGTGGTGAACCAAATTGATTCTTTACATTGATGACCCAAATCTTTCAAATTCAAGTCAACAAACACATGTTCAGTAATTGGGTGACTATATTAATACAATGCCTGTTTACAATGCTAAGTTATGTTATCTCTTAGCAGTTACACATTGAATATGAATATAATCAGTTTACAATCTGCGTAATATTTATTGTATTATGAACAATATCTCAATTAAGGGTACGTTTATCAATAAAGATTATTATTATTATTACATAAACTATACCAATCTTGGGCATGTAACCCTTTGTTGTGGCCGTTGGTTTATTTCTATAAATCTTTTGTTCTTATGCAGATTGTACTCTATTATTCATATGCTAAGTGTAATTTCTACAGTTGTATTCATATGCTAAGTGTAATTTCTACAGAGAACTGTGTATGACTTAACGTATTCTGTAAACGGATATTTTTAATCATACCTTTACCTTACCTGAGACTGCAGTCAAAGCAGTGTTCCCATTAAAAACAAATGTACATTGTAATAATGCGGAGCTGATAAAGAGATAAGAGCCATAGTTCTTTTTCAACTATTTAATGGTAACTAAGGGTGGGGTTCGAACCCATGACAGGTAACGCCTCTAACGACAAAGCTATTACAAAAATCAATCGAGTTTAACAGCCAATGGAAATATTAAAATTTCAATGCCATGTGGTATGTACATTCGGTCTGGTACGTTTACAAGATAGTAAGTATAAATTTCTTCAAAATAATTTTACATCTTCATAATGAATTTCACACTTGATCGTTTGTTTGCATACCATGAAGGCGCGACATTGCACTTTATAACGTTATCCGATATTACCGTCTAAAAATGTCTAAGTTAGACAGGTCTGTCCAGGCAACTATTGGGCAGTTCGTTTTTCTCCGATATTATCGATAAAATACTAATATAATAATGTCTAAGTTAGACAGGTCTGTCTGAGAAACTATTGAGACAGTTCGTTTTTCTCCGATATTATCAATAAAATCATCTAATAATCTCTAAAAATGTCTAAGTTAGACAGGTCTGTCTGGACAACTATTGGGACAGTTGTTCTCCGATATTATCGATAATATCGATAAAATCATCTAATAATGTCTGAAAATGTCTAAGACAGGTCTGTCTGATCAACTATTGAGACAGTTCATTTTTCTCCGATATTTTCAATAATATTGATAAAATCATCTAATGATGTCTAAAAATGTCTAAGTTAGACAGGTCTGTCTGATCAACTATTGAGACAGTTCGTTTATCTCCGATATTATTGATAAAATCGTCTAATAATGTCTAAAATTGTCTAAGTGCCTGTCTAACTTAGACATTCTTAGACGATAATTTTGATATTATCGGATAAAAACTATCTTACCCAATAGTTGCCCGCACATGGTTGTCTAACTTAGACTTTATTAGACGATAATATCGGAGAAAAAACGTAACACGAGTTATTGATGCCAATACTTCATTAGATTTTATTAGACGATAATTATCTGATAATATCGGAGAAAAACGATCTTCCCAGTAGTTGCTTTGACATAGGTGCCTAACTTAGACTTTATTAGACATTATTAGTAGGACAGTTCGTTTTTCTTCGATATTATCGATAAAATCGTCTAACAATGTCTAAAAATATCTAAGTTAGACAGGTTTGTCTGGACAACTATTGAGACAGTTTGTTTTTCTCTGATATTATCGATAATATCGATAAAATCATCTAATAATCTCTAAAAATGTCTAAGTTAGACAGGTCTGTCTGATCAACTATTGAGACAGTTCGTTTATCTCCGATATTATCGATAAAATCGTCTAATAATGTCTAAAAATGTCTAAGTGCCTGTCTAACTTAGACACTCTTAGACGATAATTTTGATATTATCGGATAAAAACTATCTTACCCAATAGTTGCCCGCACATGGTTGTCTAACTTAGACTTTATTAGACGATAATATCGGAGAAAAACCGTAACACGAGTTATTGATGCCAATACTTCATTAGATTTTATTAGACGATAATTATTTGATAATATCGGAGAAAAACGATCTTCCCAGTAGTTGCTTTGACATGGGTGCCTAACTTAGACTTTATTAGACATTATTAGTAGGACAGTTCGTTTTTCTTCGATATTATCGATAAAATCGTCTAACAATGTCTAAAAATATCTAAGTTAGACAGGTCTGTCTGAGCAACTATTGGGACAGTTCGTTTTTCTCCGATATTATCGATAAAATCATCTAACAATGTCTAAAAAATATCTAAGTTAGACAGGTCTTCTGTCTGTCTGGACAGTTCGTTATTTCTCCGATATTATCGATAATATCGTCTAACAATGTATAAAAATGTCTAAGTTAGACAGGTCTGTCTGGGCAACTATTGGGACAGTTCGTTTTTCTTCGATATTATCGATAATATCGTCTAACAATGTATAAAAATGTCTAAGTTAGACAGGTCTGTCTGGTCAACTATTGCGACAGTTCGTTTTTCTCTGATATTATCGATAATATCGGCTAATAATGTCAAAGTTAGACATCTCTGCCAACATTTCATTAGATTTTATTAGACGATAATTATCCGATAATGATTTAGATGACATTGTCGCGCCTTCATGGAGGCATTATACGGTGTGGGATTGGCTAATCTATAGAGGGCTATCGATTCGTGCACTAACTGTGTGTAATATCATGTAGACGCCGGAAATCGTGGCGACAGCAAACAGTCAAAGAGCTGATTTATGCTAGAATAAAGTTCTTGGTTTACAGTCGCGGCGATTTTGTGAGAAAGTAAAAGCTATTACAGTTCTGATTCCTCTGTAACAATGGTTTTCTGTTGCACTAAACCAGGTGTTATTAAACATGACGACGTCTGTTTACCACACGTAAAAATATAAAGAAAACTCGGCCTGAGGTATTTTGCAAAACACTTCCTATGCTGAAATGTATAATGTTACACAATGAATAGAACAGTAATGATTTTTTTTCGATACAAGTCTAGACTGTCTACTATTCTCGTAGAGGGACTGTGTTATTTCTCAATTAAAACTAGGATCGCGGGAATTCAATATATTACAGACGGAGAAAACATGTATTACAAGTATTGTTTTGGACACAAGACAATAACGTGAAAATGTCCAACTAAAGGCAAAAATTGCAATGTTTTGTTTGCAATGAAATTCGTACTTATGTTAATTCTGATATTTTTTTTCATATTTCTCATCCAAGTGTTGGACTATTTTTTTACGTTGCGTGTATTAGTGTTGTTGTTCTGCGTTTGTAGTGTATTTTTATGGAAATTGTTGGCTAAAATAAAAGATTTTCGTAAAAATACAATTTGCCCTAGCGTAAATACACCTTTAACGATCACTTCATGTCAGCTTTATCACTGCCATTTGAAGACACCAAATAACTCAGGTACTTTTTCACTGCGAAGAAAACCAAAGGTTAACCATAGAAGTGCACAAAACGGACCTTTGTCTGTCCATGGAGGTAAAAAGAAACTTTTTACCTCTATGGTCTGTCCTAATGTTTTGGTAAAAAAATAAATGCATTCTGCCTTAGTAGTGAGGAAAAGAATGTCAAACTCTTTACACTAACCTCAGACAACTAATACAGTATTATAATGATATTAGTAGTCTGGGCACTAACCATTGTCCCTCAACACCGGGACGGCGCCCTAACACTTGATCGAATGTGCAACAAATTATCATCAGCATAAAACGGATTAATCATTATCATGTTACCAGCTAAATGACATCCCACAACACATGTTTTGTAGCCTAGTACTGAGATCGTCAATATAAACTCAGAATAATATAGAACAGAATAACAACGCCCATTGTTGTAGATTACGCTAGTATGAGGCGTGCCTCGACGGTTCTTGCTGGTACATGTAGTTCATTGACACACGTTTGTCTAAAGTGAGCCCGAAGATTTCCGAACGAACTCACCTGCTTCGTGTTTTTTCGTAATATCGTTCTCGTGCTGACCATACAGGCGCATACTTTCAGTTGGAAATGAAATCTGTGAGTTTTAACCTTTTGAACGTCATCGTTTCTGTTCAAATTGGTAATTGTTTTCGTCTACGATATTTTGTGAATACATGATGAGCAAATTTATAGTACTAGTAATTTTTTTTCATTATTTTGACTTTCCCAGAATTTGACGAACTGTTTCTATAAAAGCCAATTAGCGGTGTTGTCGACGCCGGACAGTGTTCTTTTGTGTGGACGCTTCTCCGTTTTTTGTGGACAATGCGTTTGAAAACTTGATATGCTCACGCAACTAAGCCATTGAAGTCATTGAATATTCATTGGGAGGCTGATATTTTAATGAAGCATAAATTTTAATTATCTCTATTCTCGTTTTTTGCATAATTACAGAAACATGGAGAATAAACATAGAAAAAACTTCTTGCATATGTCTTGTCGCATTTGTGGAGATTATTTAACCGAGAATAAAGAAAAGAAAATGAACAACGACTCGGACCCAACTAATACACGGTTACTAAAAAAGATATAACCGTGACTAATATTACTCCCTGCGTACATCTCTCATTATCTCGCGTTATTTTATATAATAAAGAACATCGCGCTAGTTCGATCGGTTGTTACTACCTTATACATGTACTAGAATATGTTTAGATATTTAGAGTAGTAACACATTCACACTTCCGGACCGATTAGATTAAAAATATACGAAAATATTTACTTTTGAGATATAGTTCTTGGATATTTCAGCTTCGTCGTCCTGTACTTCATTTGGTCCGAGGGTTGGTAATTCGGACTTCTCAGAGTCCGTAAAAACGGAGAGTTTCGCGATTTTGACCAAAAAATGCCCCTTTATTTATAGTGTGAGATAGAAATTGTAAATAGCATCGGCGAAAGAATGCTTCCTTGTCGAACTTTATTAGTCTCTCCTCAGACTAGTAATACTAGTACTAATAATTACTAGTCCGAGGTCTCTCTAAACATGGAAGGTATTAACGGACGCAGATTATCCTGAAGCCCACCGGACACAAAGAGTTGGACCTTGGTACCAATACATTAAACGTCGTACAATGAATAAAGGCATTCATTCCCCTGTGAAGTATTTTTTTTTTTTTTTTGAATAACTTGCAATGGTTTAACTGTGACTGTGACTGTGACTGGTCAAACGCTTTTGTTGCGTTCATAACACAAATGTTTTTTCTGTGGAAATTTGGTATTTTTCCCGATTGATAGGAACCTGAAACGCGTTTCACAACTTTATTACTTTATTTCTGTAGTTCTGAAGCTCACGATTCACCGTACGGTTCCCCCATGACCCGAAGACCGGGAATCCGATTCGTGAGGTACCGGAACTGCGGCTACATTCAAGATCAAAGGTTCCCAAATATATCGAGTTTCCTTTTTGTTATCATGTGTACGCCAGTTGGCTGTGTTCTAAGCTCTAAGGAGCGATCAAGCATAATCCCACCTCCATTCGAAGAGGTTTGGAGAACAGTGTACCATGAGAGTTAAGTTGCTAACTTGATATTCGCAAGGGTCGCCGGGAACCAGCGAAAAATGATTGCAAATAGCGCCACCGCGTTGGGTTTCGGAAACATTTTTGTCGCGCCATCTTGGAATTTTATTATTTTCAGTGTTCAATTTTGTCCTAATATTTATCGAATGACATCCAGCTAATTCGGGGATATTTGAATTAGTATTGTAGATAGATAGGTAGTTTGCAGTATAGATTTTCAGTTATTATTATCCAAGCAAACGTTTCCTGGACTATTCCCACGGATTTCTGTGTTTTCGTGACTGTAATTTCCTATGAGACAATGGCGGCGAACGGAGAAGGAAGTTTCCAAATGGACCAAGTGGTTGATCAAGAAATAGTTGATCCCTCAGTTGGAGTAGATTTTGGAGTAGGCGACGAAGGCAATGATGAAAATGTCGGTGTTGCAGAGGAAGGTGTCGAAGATCCGGTAAGTTTGCTAAAAATTATGACTTTGACAAATTGGCATAATTAGGGTGCGACGTGCAAATATAGTTTATTGAAATGCGACACTATTGTAACAGATACCGAAATACTAGTAGCTGACAGCAGTAACATGTGTAGAATAGTTCACAGAATATACAAAATGTATATACATATAGCGGTCTCAAAGCCGTGCATTCCAGGCAATTTGTTTCCAAAGTAGATGTGTTTACATTACAAATATAAAGTGCCATTCTAGTTGGTGCAAATAAAAATGTAAACTATCTAAAATGCTAGTTTGAATATTTCCCTGATGAGTTGTATGTAGTGCATGTACATTTTAAGCTGTATGCATTTCCATAGACTTACTTTGTGTAAATTTCTGTTTTGGGGAGATAATCATTTATGATATAAATTGTTAAAATGCATTCAAGTGATACCAACTAAAACATTGTATGATGTTTATAGTCAGGGTTCTCCTAGGAGAATTATAGGGTAAGCCCCCCCCCCCCCACTCTGCAATGTTGGATAGTAAAGTAAGACAGTAAAGCATAATTATTTTAACAATGAATACAGTACAGGTGGTTAACATAGTTTTCGTTATTAAAATTATGTTGTTTTCCAAGGGGAGAGCACTGTACTTTTTGGTATTGTGTGAATTATGGTGCTTAGTTGTGTGGCATTTGTAATGGGTGCTGGACATCTCAACCCAAAAAAATCTCGACCCATTTTTCATTGGACAACTCGACCCAGGACCCCTAGACATCTCGACCCACCTATTTCAGATGACCCGCCGCCTTGACCTGATCCCAATAGCGTCGTACTTTTCCCAATAGCGTCGTACTTTTCCCAATAGCGTCGTACTTTTCCAAGTGCGCGTAGACCACAGTGTTTGTTTCACTGATTTATTATTTTTTGCTGCTTTCACTGTTCATTTCACAAAGATGCATACGGTACTTATATATATTTTTGCTGTACAAAATAAAAAATGCCGTACTGAGGAAATGTATTCGTGCCGTGTCGATGTGTGTCACATCGATGTTACGTTATATACACCTACCCACCGCGTTAAATGGTAGAACCAAAGATGGCGGTCGATTTGTGTTTAAGGTTCGGTTCGATCATGTTCCCTGTTTTCAATGTTTCGAATCAATAGATGTCGTTCATTCAAACACAACATTCATATACAGCACGATACGCAATATCGCGAAAATTTTAAGTTATCTAAGGGCAACATTATCAACGTTGAACTACATAGAGGTTCGCGTCGCCACACTTAGATAGGGTCGGGTCGATGCGGTGGGTCGAGATGCCCAGGGTGTCTGGGTCGAGATGTCCAATTTGGGTCGAAGTGTCTTGGGTCGAGAAATTTTTGGGTCGAGATGTCTAGAAATCTTTGTAATCATGCAAGACTTGCTTGTACATGTACATGTATTTCACAATATAGTTTCAATTATAGTTCAGGGGAGTGTACTAAATGCAAATGTTTGGCCTATATGTTTCTATTGAAGATGCATTTCATATGCTAGTAGAATTAAATGTGGTATACATACTAGTTACTCGCACCATTGATTTTAGACACTATCTGAGTGTGAAAGATAAATAAAAAAAAAGTAATTGCTATAATAGTGATACTATAATGTGGCTATATTACAATAGGAGCTTGAGGCAATCAAAGCAAGAGTCAGAGAAATGGAAGAAGAGGCTGAAAAACTAAAAGAAATGCAGAATGAAGTAGAAAAGCAGATGAACATGACAAGTCCAACTCAGATGACTCCAATATCTTTGGAAGATAAAGTTGAAGTTGATGCCAGATCAGTTTATGTGGGAAATGCAAGTACATTGTTTTTCTATTTATATGCGTGTCACAGAAAAGTGTTGTTGCTAGAGGGCGTGCTATTGAAACACGTTTAAAAAAAAAAAAATTTGAAGAAAAAGTAAGGAGGTTAATTTTCTCTGAAACAAAATTAGATACCGTTATGTAAGCTGCTCATATATTGGATGCATGTCAGTGGCTTACACCATTACTCGATGATATTGTGCTTTTTCATACATGACTTCTCATTCCTTTTTACATATTTTGCCTTACAGGTTGACTACTCTGCGACTGCTGAGGAACTCGAAGCACATTTCCATGGTTGTGGATCTGTGAATCGAGTGACAATATTATGTGACAAGTTTACTGGACATCCTAAAGGGTTGGTGGTACGCTGCTTGGATGCAGGGCTGATCAATAGTTTATATTCTTCTTTCACAAACACATTACATGTTCACACATTGATTCTGGCTCTCATCAATCGCTCATTCTCTATGTTCATGTAGTTGGCCAACAAGGATAAAGTTTTTATTTTACATTGTAGATTTTGTGCAGCGTTAGCATATTATGTGCATTACATTAAAATAACATGAACAAACAAATTAGTTTTTAACATTGCCATAGTGAGTACATTTATTGAGGAAATTAGTAACTAATTAATATTAATATTCAACCTGTTTTTGTGACCAAAATTCCCATTTCAAATACATATCGATAGTCATTGTCAAACAATTACAAAAGAGCAAGCTGATGTTTAAAATATCCATTTTGTCACAAATGCTTGTATTCAATTTTAATGGGCCGATTATTAGGTCGATCCCATCATATCTCTGCTTATCCTTGGTTCTTGTCTCTTCGTTTAATAACCAATAACCACAAATGAACTTTTGTGTCTAATTGTACACTCGGCATGCATGTTATCCCTTACCTAACCCATTTTTACAGATTTGCATACATTGAATATGCGGATAAAGATTCAGTACAGACTTCCTTGGCATTGGATGAATCATTATTTAAAGGCAGACAAATTAAGGTAATTGTTGTATGGTCAGTCATGAAGTAGAACTGAAGCTACAATTATCAATGAAATGATTTGATATAATATGAACAATACTAGTCTTCCTAGTCAACTATAAAATTATTATGATCCCCATTTATTTTGATCACTTGATTTTCAGGTTCTCCCAAAACGTACAAATAGACCTGGCATTAGTACAACTAATCGAGGTCCTCGAGGACGTGGGTTCAGACGTGGTGCTAGGGCGCCATTCAACATGCAGTATTACAGTGGCTACGTTCCAAGACCGAGGGGATCAAGATTTAGGTACAACACGGGATTCTTTGATATTTCCTGATATGCTATCTGAATAATTGAAGTTACTTTCAGTCTACGATGTAAGCTGAATCATTGCGCTGTCTTTTATGACTGCATGACTCATTAAGACTTTCCTGGTTAGCAGGATATTGTGATTGGCTAACCCTGATGTGGAGATGCGACGTAATAGCTATGGACACTCGATGCTCCATCTACGGCCATCTTGACTTTGCTGCTTTTGCCATCTCGCTAACTTTGTAATACCTTTTGCCCTTGATGTAATTGTTGATGTAAATTGAAAGCTGTAGATTTTCTGGTTGTTTGGCTAAACTGCAACACACTACTCTGATTACAATTACATCAAGGGATTCTTGCTGTTAGCTAAATATAGTTGCGACTAAGCTAGTATTAGTGTGCTTAGTGGTCAACCCTGTGAATTGCTTTTATTTGCATGATGTAATGGTTAAAGGTGTGGACGATACACAGGTTCTGTTCTTTGGACCGAGATGAAATAGACTTTCCTACCTCAGCTGTGTCTAGTTTTGCAGGGAATTCCCCTACAAGTCTCAGTCTGTTCTGAGAAGTGGTTTTCATTAATTTATTTCTCAAATGCTTATACTGTTCATGAGTCGCACCAGTGATTTTATAAATTAAAATACTTCACATCATTTGGGTGAGAATGCCGTGCTTAATCACTAGTCTGCTCTTCTATGCCCCTAACTATTGTTGTGCGTTAGTTTGAATGGAGTGTGCCAGTTTTTAATATGAAATTTTCCAATCATTCCATCTTTATGCTTTAAACATTACCGATATATCATTCATGCGCTCCAAGAGTTCATTTTAAATTATCAAGCAAAGGGAGAGTCCTATATGCCAGTCCTAAATTATATACCGATACCCTGTATTGATGTACTAAAACAATACTTAAGAAGATCTACTGCTTAAATCATCCTAACCTTTGTATTTGATTCGTTCACAGGAGCCGTAGGGCAGTTTATTACTCACCATACTAAAAGGCCAGTTAGTATTATTTTCAACCCCCTGACGAAAAAAATACTGCACCACGTCGGGGGGTAAAAAGAAGAGAACAAAAAAAAGATGCAGTAAAAAAAAAAGATTCAAGATGTGCAAACTTGGAAAACCTATATATTGATATGTATATATAATATATATACACAAACACGTATGTTACTTGTTGAGTGCCTAGCTTGAATAGATGGAATTTATACAGAAGAAGATGTACTGTTATGTGCGTGTCTATTTCTGCGTCTAAAGTACGAGGCAGGCGACATGTGTTATCGTCATCCACCTGCGTTAAATTTCCTTTATATATATAATTGTTGTATACATATACTACCAGTTGGGTTTATTTCAAATTTATTTGGCAGCTTTGTATTCAGTGTCTGAATACTTGGAAAAACTAGCATTTTATTTGGAATACAAGTTTGGGCCTCGAAAAGTGAAACTTTTTTTGGCAAAGTTAAAAATTCTTGTTGATACAAGATTCCCTGTGTTTCTGTTTGGCATTGATGTGTGTGTAGACTTGCTCTTTGAATGAGAAAGCCAAATATGACTGTGTTGAGGTAATAGTTGCACTGTTCTGTGGTTCATGTGTATTATCTCTTTCAGAACCAGGAGTGGATCATGTACATCATCAAGGTGGCAAAGAGAGTGGAGGCTACTATTTAGATCTCTGAAGTCTATGGTACTTCTTTTTGGACTCACTTGAGGGTAAATGGGGGAAAAAAAGATTAAAAAAAAAGGAAAGAACTCTCCAAATGAGAGAAAAAAAAAAGTAAAAAAAAAAAATTGATTGAAAAAAAGAGGCCAAAAAAAGGGGACAGTAAGAGAAAAAAATGGAATGATTGTAGATGCATACAAACCACTGTATTCTTTATTTTATTTGCAATTAATAAATTTGAGCATTTTACATTGTGTGTTTCTATTGTGATTTTCCTATGATAGAGCACCTAAATATCATAGTTTAAATAACATGCTTATTGTAGTTAATGCCTTGTATGGCTTTAGTATGTCTACCCTAACAAGTCTATTGGAGAGAACCTTGATCATAATACCTAATGGCTGTCATTGGCTTTGTTCTACACCTCTGGCAGAGAGGGAGTCGTCCCTAGACTTAGTTGCACTCATAACATTCAGATCAAAGACTGATGGTGCCATGGGAGAACATCTGTCTGAAAGTCTAGTAGAAGGTACTGGAGAGATTTCTAGATCTTCTGTTCTGGCCTTAGTCTCATAGTGTGATATTGGAAAGTGATTTAGACAAGGCTGCCAAGATCTTCAAGAATGAGAACAATACAACTTGTTTTGCCCCACTCTCCCATCAATTGTGTTCACCATTCTCTGTAACCATGATAAAGATAACTGCAGTACAAGTCAGCATGAATCATTTAATTTCACCATTTTGATGTTCTAAGCATATTCACTGGCATTTAATTTTACAAGTTCACAGATTTAATTTAGAGGATTTCACTTGGAAGTGAAAATAGTGAAATCAAAACCCAATGAATAATTAATTTATTTACAGTATTTTGTCAAGTCTTATAGTGGAGATCATGTAGTTCTCTAATATGGAAACAAGTTTGAATTTTCATTTTACATTTACATGTATAAATTAAAACTAATAAACCTGAGACAAATATAAAAATGATGAGGCAAATGTCTGGTGAGAACTCTGCATTTAAGCCAGAATGGAAACTAGATTTGCTCCCAGGTTTGGAAAGCCAATCTATGCCAAACACTTTGGATATTCACTTACATGAGTCAATATATTTGCTTTATCAGATGGTTTTGAGGTATATTACAAGGTTTTATATAAATGCATGATGTGATATTGTCAAGAAAAAGATTCAAATTAGTGGCAAAATAAAACCTTAAGCACATTATATTAATGATTATACAAGCTCACTTTGCCTGATAAAACATTTTGGACTAATTATGTTGCATGCATCTCACCACTAGGATGTTTCCCAATGAAAAAATTCGAACAATATTTAATTTCATGATTCAGTGAACTTTAACATCAACGTCCTATGGTCTTGGGCTTGTCATGACATGTTAAGGTGTGGCAAAAGCTATCATTTGTTGAGGTGTAGAGCAATTGGTAACCTATGCCTTGTATTTGTCTTCATAATGTTCTAGCAGATTCAAAGTTCAGAGAAAGTTTAATCTGTCAATCAGAGTTGATATTTTGAATGAAGGGAAGAAATAATCCCTCGCGGTAATGACAAGGTCGACCTATTGCACTAACAGTTTGTGTAGCTGCACACGCTGTGTATGAATGACTGCAATGTCATTCCTTAACATTTTCCACTGGATGATAATACTGAACACATAGCAATGTACTTATACCAAATAGTTATTAAGATTGTACTTCTGAAACCATCATCTGTAATACCAGTTTGTCAAATGAACTGAAATACATAAACAGTGACATTATTAGCTGCTAAATATGGCATTCTCCAGTCAGGAGTAATGAAACATAAAACACTGCAGTTGTGGAGATAAAAATATTTGAACAATGCAAACTATCATATCTTATAAGTGTTAGTTTCTAAATTTATATCCACATTCACTCAGACATTCCACTGATTGAGCAGGTATATCTAAAGCAGTTATCGTGACCTTGGTATTTTGATTTGTACAAAGATCACTCAAAATATGCTGCGAAATATCATTTACAGATATCTAATCAACTTTCATTTACCCAAATTTAGATCCTACTTCATCATAAATCCCCTTCATAAGTCTGGTGCCCATAGTTCACAAATTAAAACTAATAATACACGTGTTAGTATGTCCATGGTGTAATCCAGGTTTATGTGTGCTTCTTGTAAGCTAATATAGTACCGGGTATATAAAGTTGAATAATTATTTGAGTTACACAACTGAACTTACCGGGATTTGATTGTTTCACCTGGAGTATAGAAAGGATTGCACAGCATATCTGTATAGGCATTATGAAGTTTACGGAACATCTACAGTAAAAATTAAACATTGAAATTGGTGTGAAGATTTAATGGAGATCAACAACATTACTGGATTTTGTTTTTAAGAAAATACCTAATGAACTATAGTAGATATATGAAACACCAACTCCTATATGTTTGTATAATGAATTGAATGAATGAAATTTTTTTTTTTTTTTTAAAACAACATTAAATGTAGAAATTGTACAAGAAGTAAATATATATAAATAAATAATGAATGCTACTTTTTTTTGGTGAGGATTACAGATATAGTTCATCAGAACTAATCAGGTCCATAACCCCTGTATATACAATTTCATAGTTTAATCCAATAAATCTTCAAATAAAAAAAATAGTATGCTATGCTTCAAATTGTTGGCTTGTGGCAAAAAGCGGAAGAATTACTGCCTTAATTATGTCATTAAAAGCACATGCAATTATGTAAATTAATTTGACTGACTGACTGACTATGTGTTACTTGCATGTCTCAGCATAAAGTAATATGCATATTCATGTTTTGGGGCCATGGCATTTTACCAGTATGACATTTTTTTGACATAAAAACAGGGTTTTACACGACGCAATATATTGCGTCATTGACGCATAATTATGACCGTATGACCCACATAAAAATCAGCAGTGCGTCCTGCGGGACGCAGGAATTTTGTCGACAAGTCGTGAGTAATCCATCCCTCCATTTGATCTGCAGTAATTGCTAAATGGGCTATTGTAACACTTGAACCTCCCTCGATTTAAAATGGAACAGTTCTCAACATTTAAACATGGCGACAGTGCCAAGGCAGACCGATCTCCATTGTTTCTTTGGCGGCAGGCCGTTCAGCCCGTCTACTAGTTCTCTCGTTAAAGCTTCACCAGCTACGTTCAGTGAAAAGCCCCACATTTTACTAAAGAAAGGTCGTTCTTTCAACGATGGGTAGCTAAATCGTTTTAAATGGCTCTGAAACGTTATGGAATGTGAAGTTTGTGTGAGAGCGAAAGCCAAAAACCACTTCACTGACGGGTGTTCAAATTTTCGAAACTCAACTCTCATCCGGCATCAAGACACTAGAAGTCACATAGATTGTGTCCATGTGTTGTCCATGAAGTGAGACTTTACGGCCGCTCGTCTGGTAGCAAACAAGAGGAAATATCAAGGTAGAAGTGACAATCTGCGAACTGTTTATGTTATGGCTAAAAGCGATCTCCCTTGCGATGTTTTTACCGATTTCATGCATGTTCTGAATTTGTTGTATGAATAAAGACCTGGATAAAACTTAGTAAATTAGATGTTTTTTCATACTGGTACTCCAACATTGAACTCAAATCATTTCATTAACTCTCCATTGTATTGTTTTCCCTATTTAACATATCAATTTCTTGATTTGTGTATGACCCTCAAATTTGCAATTATGACCCCCGAATTTTCAGACAAGGGGTCCCAATAAATCCCATATCTAAAAAATTATGTAAAACCCTGTATATCACCTTACACATACTGGCAAGAAAGAACTATAAATGGTTATACCAATTTGAATGAAATATGTCCATGTACGACCGAGATCAGAGCTTGATTTTGATGAATTTGTAGCACAAAAATGGCCATCTTGAATTGGATCATGAAACAATGCCTATGCACCTGTATAACATGATGTGCAATGTGTGTGAAGTTTAAATGGACAGACGTGCTGATGCACAGAGGTAAAATTATAATGTCCGAACATTATTATGTCTGAACAGGGACTAATAATGTATTCTTTACCATGTCATATAAGGTTCAAAGTTGATTCTACGCTTGAGTTGGCCTGCTTCTAATAGTAAGTAAGTCACAATTTTGGCTAAGTCGCATGCAGTTGGATGGCTCTTAAAAATTCTATTGTATTTTGCCGCCAGATTTGTAAAAGAACTAATGTTTCGTTCCATAGTGTATTTATGTGTCAATTACTGAGATATAAAGGGTGACAGTGACCTGTTGACTAAAGTGTCAAGTTGCAACTTGCATAGTTCTCAGCTGGTCCCCATTTGATAAAGCTCTATAAAACTCAGTGAGTTGAATCCATCACTCTGATCCCTTGTTCTCAACTGAGCAGCATGTTTAAGCGAAAGCTATCCAGTCTGTTCGCAAGTCAAAAAACTTGCAGCGATCGACTGTGTCAAGATTCGTGGGTGGTAAAGAAGGGAGCTGAACAGAAAATGTGCGAAATTATCCAAAAATGATGACATCGATAAAGCAAATGTACTATAGGGGTATACAAACCCATGTTATGCTTTTTATCCATTTTTAATGGTTTGCTAAGTCACGACTGCTGATAAGTTATGTATTTTGCTTGGATCCTGAGACCCGTGACTTAGCGAAAGGGGGTCACTGTAGTACCAGATTCTGCTGTAAATTCGCCCATCCGAAAAATCGCCCTGGGCAATTTCACGACTGGTGGGCCCTTGTTTGGGGTTCAAAATTTCAAAAAAAATTGTTGGGGACTTGTATTTTCAGTGAAAAATCCACCTACGCCAACTTTTAACGCCGGCAGTTGGACCACCCAAAACAAAAAGAAACTATTGCAGAAGCTAATCTAAAATTTGATACATTTTTTTCTTGCTGGATTGAAAAGTAGACCGCCTAAAATGTCATTACAATGTCACCAAGCGCATCTTTCTCCAAAAAAATCACATTAACAAACTTTGTGTGCCAAATATTATTATTAATATTGAAAGTATATTCTAAAAGAAGTTTCAAATAAAAACGAACACAACTGCATTGCTTAGTGGCAAATGATCGCGGTAGCACAATCCGGTCATGCTGCATTTCACAGTTGTTGATTATTACCGAGTAATGATTATAATAACGTGCAAAAAATAAATTCGTTGAATTGTTATGAAATGCAAACAAATTCAACTTATTTCATCGTAAGCGTATGATTCTGGTCACACTTTGAACGCTCGATGCTGTAGAAATGACGGTGTTCTTTGACCTGACAGGTCAAATCGCTAATTAACCAATGAAAATAATGGATGATGCCAACGTGTTCAAATTACCATAGCTCATTTAAATATGTTAATGTTATTGAACGCAGCACGGAAGAGATTTGCCGATGTTGTTGTACGATTTTTTGGCTTGTTTTTTGATGGGAAAGCAGCATGATTTGTTTTTAAATAACAAAAAATTAGTTGTTTCCAAAAAATAAACTGAGCATTTGAAGAATAATTTAACATTGTTTACAGTTATAACAGCTCATTGTCGAAACTAAGCTACCCATTCACGCAATAGACATTATACTCTTGAATAGGCGTCAATGACTCCGGTGAAACTTTTATGCATCATGAAAGATTAAAATAACACCTTAAAAAAACTGCCGAAAAATCAGCGATTTTTTTGGTCTTATTTTATTTTTTCAAAAACCAAAATTGCCATTTAACGGCCCTGGGCGAATTTACAGCAGAATTCGGTATTATAACCACTTTAAGATTAAATGAATACTTACACTTCTAATTTCATTGTCTCTCAGTAAAGTATTAGATGTTTCTACTACGATAACAAACTTGACCTTTGTATTGGTCACATAGCCATAGCTGGATG